ACTGGTTCGCTGTCGAACAACGTTCCGATGTTTCCGTAAATTGCTGCTTCTCCATCTCTGTCGCCAACCTCTTTTTTGATAGCGAGTGCTTTCTCCAAATACTCTTGGGTCTTGTCATATTGACCAAGCGATCGGAACAATGTACCTAAGTTTCCATAGTTTGTTGCTTCTCCATCTCTATCGCCAGCATCTTTTTTGATAGCGAGTGCTTTCTCCAGATACTCTCGGGCTTTGTCATATTGACCAAGGGATAAGGACAATGTTCCTAAGTTTTCGTAGCTTATTGCTTCTCCATTTTGGTCGCCAATCGCTATATTGATACCGAGTGCTTTTTCCTGATACTTTTGGGCCTTGTCGTATTGACTAAGCGAGTCGAATAATGTTCCCAGTTCGCTGTAGCATTCTGCTTCTTCTTTTGCATTACCAGACGCTTTCATGATGTTTTCTGCCTCCTCATAAAATTTTTTTGCCTCCACAAGATTATTTTGAACTCGAAGTATTCTAGCAAGAATTAAATTCAGGTAACCTTTATGGAAGTTGTTAGCAGAGTCCTGACACAAGAGTAATAGTTTGGACGCTACCTTTCTCTTTAAATCTAAAATGCTTTGGTGAAGTAGTTTCGAAACTGGACTTTTATTGCTTAAATTTCCATTGTTCAGTAGAACTGAGCATTCTTCGCCCAATAGGATGGCTCTTCTATCGAAACCAGAGTTGAGAAGGAAAGTGGCGACAGCCAGACCTATGTTGATAGCTAACGTGGTAAAATCTTCTCCCGTGTTGTCCATCACGGCTCTCTTCGCTGTTAGTTGAGAAAAGAATTGAAGTTAACTATTACACATCAGAGGCGAATTATTTAGAAGATTTAAGAGAAACCTTGGTTTCGTTGTCTGAACAATTTGAGCACGCAAACCCAGTATATGATCTGCCTTACCGAAGCTCCTATAATGGTCTCCATGGAGTGATGGCTTTTACGGCTAACCGTTAACTTTTTGGTCATTTGACGGCTAACTGTTATCATTAAAAACTTGATCATTGGATAATGCAATTCAAGACTTTTATTAGCTTAGCCATTATGGTATATGAGCCAGTAGACCATAATCTAATATCTGTACATTGTAACATCCGGTTTCTTCTTACAAAATAAAGTCGAGAAGATTTGTCTAATATCTTGGGGGCGTTTTTTTTATTAAAACAATTATTCCACTCGCGCTTGTTGAATATGAGATGATTATAGCCAGATCGGCGCTACGTGCCTTGTTAGCCATCTATCATCTCATATCCAACGCGCGCTCGTGGAATAGTTGTTAAATATCATTCCAAAGTTGTCTCCAGAAATGTGTTTCTTTGTTCGTTTTTTTTTTACGGTTAACTTTTTTTACGACTATCGGTTAACATTTTTGGCCAATTTACGGCCAGTGGTTAACCTCCTGGAAACCCTTTCTTAAAGGTCAATCAGGTCATAGTTAATAGAGTTCCCTCTATTAACTCTGATCAGCTATAGTTTCTGATGGCTACACGAGG